TTGAATTCTCGTTTCTGAGACACAGCACACATCAATGCCAAGCGAGTCCAGTGTGAGTGCAAGAGCAGCTTGCTGTCCTGCTTGCTTCAGAGTGTGGACATTGAACGCGGCCAGATAGACTAGGTGTCGAGGCTTGAGGACTGATTTGGAGATTCCTGAAGATGTTGGCACCATGTGGCGAGCAGATGCTGCACGCAAAACCGATGTATGACGAACGGAGTCATCAGTCCTAAGTGTTGGGCCTACAAGGAGAGAGTTATTAATGGGGTGGGGAGAGTGGGAAGAAAAAGTATGGAACCCGGTTTTTTAGCTAAAAGGATTCCGATTTCAGGTATGTGTTCAGATATATTCTTGATGTAGCTTAAAAATATCTACCTGGTTATTTGTTCCTGCTCTTACTGCTGCTAAGGTATCTTTTTCAAGCTTCTCTTAATAAAATTCCTTGGATATCCATTGGTCTAGAATACTCTGAACAGATGGCCTTCTTAATTTTTCCTTAGCTTTCTGGGGCTCCAATGAATGCTCAACCTTTTGAACAGGATTTAAATGCAGCTCTTCTTTTGTCCCTTGGGATGTTTGCTGTTGTGGCTCGGTAAGTGATCCTTAGCGTCTCCGGCATACGCAGGTTTTGCAAGTATCGTCTACTCTCCTTTCACTAAAACGCCCAAGAGTGGTGGTCGGTTATTCCTTCATAATTCAATGGCAGTTCAAACAGCTCTTTGGGCTTCACATACGCATTGTATGCTTCATCTCTTTTAAATACGTCACAAGTGTTGCCAACTTATCCAATCCATAGCCTTGGAATGATGGTTTTTTGTACCACCACACCCCACTCCACTACGTCCCCTAACAACGCACTGATGATGTCACCCTGATTGGTGATGAAACGTCCGCAACCTGATTGCCCTGATCAACGAACAAACCAACGACCATCTGCGCTACCTCAGTTACAACCATCCTCCACAATAGCTAAGAGTGGGCGTGGCAGGAACAAACTTGGTTAAGAAAGACCTTCTACGTAAAAAGACAATTTTGAGGGAAGTATGATCCTAAACAAGTAAACAGTTTCTTCTACTTTGTTCACATTTTACAATGATACAAATGGCCGAATAATTAAAATGTTGGCATTTGAAGAAGACTTTATGCAGAGGGACCTTTGCACAATACATATACTCAACTGCTGTGATGTATGTTAGTTCCCGGCAGACTGTAATGCGACTAGTGCGGTGGTTGAATCTGACTGAATCCGACTATGTTCTGACTTTATAGGAATGAAAAACATAAAAGCACGCGGAATATCCCGTCCAGACTAATGAAAAAGTGTATACATACCTTCTGAAGCGATGCGTTTTCTTCTTTGAGCGAATTCACACTGGATATGAGATAGCTTTGTGAGTGCTGAAATAGGGATAGAAATGACAAATGCCACTTCATGTCAGCGGAACCAGACATGATGTATCCTATTACTAATAATAAAATGCAAAATAGCAAGAATAATAACTAACATTTAGAATAATGCGAAGGCCCAAACTAAACCATCTTTATATGCATATCATCATCTCCGAAAATTTTGGGTGGGAAAAGTTTCCAATTTGGTTATATGCAACACGGATGTTTGATGTTTTCAGTGGCATGGATGGGGCAGTACCCGCAGGCCAAATATAATAGTGCTAGAAATTGATGGGATTCAATAATACCAAGATAGCACTCTGCCGAAAATGGAAGAGATACGGTTTAGGGTGGACCAGTGTCCAATGAAACGACGGTATGAGTACTTGTGTATGTTCGTGTCACAAGAGCCATTAGTCAGAGTGGTCTGGATGCACATAGATGGATTGTGAGTGTCACTTTTTCTGAATTGATTTGATAAAACCCTATCCATTATTTTTAAAGCGCGAGCATGTGGTTGGTAGTACCCATCAGGTGTGTTTGGCAAATCCCGTTGTAGTATGGGTTTACAGGTGTTTTCTGATCCTTTTGGATGACTGCCTTCTCTTACGATCGATAACGATGGCGTCACAAACACACACAAGTACCCACACTGTTATTTCGTTGGACACTAGTCCACCATAGACTATGTTCTCCATTTTTAACCGAATTAGATCTTGACATCATGAGATCCCATCAATTTATGGCACTGTTATATTTGGTTTACGAGTGCTGGCCAGCCCAAAGGCATCGAAAACAGCAACACTTGCTACTTCTGTGCTCTATTTGAAATCTTCAGCCTGTTAATTTGTTTGTACTTAAATCTTCACCATTTCACTGTCGAAACATTTACCACCCTTCATAATAAATAGTTTTCACCTACTTCTGATGTTTACTCACATGATGCTGTTTAGATCCACCTTTCCATGGTGATGGTGAGTGTCATCCGTACTCCGCCAGTAGTGAAAGTTGGCTGAACAGTTGATGTCCAGTGGGGCTTTCCTGCATCAAAATCTTTATGAGCCAAATACTCCAAACCCATCCCTTTTTGATCTGGGAATACAGACCAATTCAAATTTGCACTTTCTGGAAATTTACGTGCGGCCAAAAATACACGAGACCAACGACCATTTAATTATCAGCAATAAGTTTGTTTGAGCCAAGTCAGTACCAGAATAAATCAAATCAGCGGCCAATTTACTGAGCGAATTAGATAGTATGAACTTTCAAAAGCAATTTATTACATTACTTCATCATTTCATCCTCAGCGCTTATTCACTTTTTCACGAAAAAGCACTTTCGTGAGAATGAGACTGCAAACCTTCAAGTTTTTTAAAAGCAAATAGTGGCGTTAGTAGAAAAACAACACGTCCTTTCCATTACAAAAATATCTCTCGAGGTACATGTGTTGGTTATAACAATTCAGATTTAGCTGCAACTACAGTTGCATATTTTGTAGGATCAAGTATCCGCAGGGGTTCATATTCAGAGGGTACATAGGGATTTCTGGTGAGAATGATGACTGATAACAACCCTGTCACATACGTTCTGAATTCTGATTACATCATGCATTTTTAAAATATTTTACTGTTCGTATGATGGGATATATTGCTTTCTGTGCAGTGATGAGTTACCTGGAAACTACATACTTCATGTGTATTCCCCCCAATATTTGTAGTATGATTGTTTTGTGTGTACAGCAATTGACCCAATTAGCAGTCCAGCCAAGTCAAATCTATTCACAGAACCCGTGGAAACGGCAGTCTAGTGCATAAGCTTGTTTGAGATATTGACCACCAAAACGTGACATCCTACTAGTATTATTTCCCTAAAGCATTTCCATTGTGAATCGTCCTTCTGAGTGTTGAATCAGCTTGTTTGGAAATGTGGAAATCTAGCCTCTTATTTTCAGGGGTGTTTTTCTTTGAATAGAGCGGAAATGAAAAAATCATGTCCCGGGAAAAGGTCATTTGTCTTAAGTTTGTATCTATGTGGGGATTCCTTGTGTGAATGAGTGCGACCAAAGTTTTTGAGAAACACTTGAGCTAAACCAGCAGGTGATCCAAATTCGCATACTAATCATCAAGCAAGTGACCCAAAATCACTTTAGAAAGCCTAAATGTGAGACTGCATACCGTAATTAAAGTGTTGCATGTGTAGCGGACATTTCCATGTCCCCTCAACCAACTTCACTTAATTTGTCCAGTACATGGGTGTTTACTAGATCCCACGACTTACCTGCTACACAAGCACACAAGTCACGTGACAAACGCCGTTCCACCCGCAACCTTGACCGACTACAAGTCAGTTCCTGTTTAGTACGCACGGAACGATTCATATTTTATACACACATCAAACTTTCCTATATATAGGAAGCGACAACACAGTCAACACGCACAGACTCGCGCGCGCGCAGGGAGCAGGACGTCAACCTCTCCACAAGTCCACGGACAATCATGGAACACGTGTAGCAGCCAAACTGCGGAGAAAACACGTTACCGCCGTCCGGACTTTCACCAAGGGACTCTCACATACGATAAGTTCCTTTATTGACTTGCTCCCATTTCGCATTGTATTCATTTTTATACGTGTCGCAACCACACTAAAAAACTTCTATTAGTGCACATTCACCTTCTGATTTGTATTATGGCTATCGCCACCTGTGCACTAATAATTGGTGAGCCCGACGTTTGTGAACCCACGTAACTCCTGACAATTATTCATTTGGACTCCCATATATTCATATTTCTACTCATGTCTGACACACCTACGGCTCAGTCACCAAAACTCTCATTACCTCAGACAAATATCAATGCCGCGTCTGTCCATCTTCCATCATTCTGGAACTACTTCATGCATCCATTCGCTCCATCGGCAATGTGCTGGCAAGTTTTTCTCATGGTCTACATTACATTTCAACCCCCGACGTGACAATACCATGTCAGATCCTCTTGCACATGTCATTCCCTCACCTTCAACTGCACCGACACCCAACATCAACGCCGCCTCTGTTCATCTTCCATCATTCTGGAACTACATCTTGCATCCGCTCGCTCCATCAGCAATGCTCTGGCAATTTCTTTTCTCATGGTCTACATTACATTTCAACCCCCGACGTGACTCTCATCTCTGAAACTCTTTATTCAAAGTTTCTTATGGCGAATATGAACAGACATATACGTTCATGGACAAGACTTTGTCTATAATGTCAACGTTCAAAGATACTTCGCTATACTCACTCACACATCGGTACCTTTCCCACTTCGGACTACCGATTCGACCATGCTCACTCGATGCTGTCGGATGTCTCCCGCAACTATTTTTCTCTTTCGCTGGAGGGGGAGTATTTGTAGCGGACATTTCCATGTCCCCTCAACCAACTTCACTTAATTTGTCCAGTACATGGGTGTTTACTAGATCCCACGACTTACCTGCTACACAAGCACACAAGTCACGTGACAAACGCCGTTCCACCCGCAACCTTGACCGACTACAAGTCAGTTCCTGTTTAGTACGCACGGAACGATTCATATTTTATACACACATCAAACTTTCCTATATATAGGAAGCGACAACACAGTCAACACGCACAGACTCGCGCGCGCGCAGGGAGCAGGAAGTCAACCTCTCCACAAGTCCACGGACAATCATGGAACACGTGTAGCAGCCAAACTGCGGAGAAAACACGTTACCGCCGTCCGGACTTTCACCAAGGGACTCTCGCATCCGATAAGTTCCCTTTACGACTTGCTCCCATTTCGCATTGTATTCATTTTTATACGTGCCGCAACCACACTAAAAAACTTCTATTAGTGCACATTCACCTTCTGATTTGTATTATGGCTATCGCCACCTGTGCACTAATACATGCTTATTTGAGACGATATGGTAGCCAATTTGTAAACCTATCTTGAAAATGGCTATCGCCACCTGTGCACTAATACATGCTTATTTGAGACGATATGGTAGCCAATTTGTAAAACCTATCTTGAAATTTTTCGTTAAGCTCCATCGTTTTCTGTGGGCTTCAAGGTTAAGCAAGTGTTCTGGACATCTGATGACAGCAGACTTAACTTAAGTTGAACCGCTATCAGATTTAACCAATAAGCTCACCCAAGAATAACCACATTCCGGTTAGGAGTGAGGTTCAGCTAGAAATCGGTCCCTTTTGAAAGACTACATTTCAGCTCCCAAAACAGACTACTACTGTGGTTTTGGGAAGGGACTTACCCTCCCACCAAGGACCCAGGCGCAAAATTGGCGTTTTGGTTTTCTATAGCTTAAGCAACCAAATAGGTACATGAATAAACTCAAGTACGTACATCTGTTTTCAAAGTGGTCGAGTTTGCTAAACATGATTTCTAGCAAACCGAATCTTAAAAGCTACAAGCATTTCTCATAAATAAGCTCTTCTGAGAAGATGTCACTGCCCCAACGCAGGTGCACTTGCAATCCCCGTCTTCCACGATTAAGCAGGCACGCCAACTTTATTTTGGTGGTCTGTTTGAATAGCGTACGCACTTGAAAAGCTATAACCAATATGAAATTAAAACTTAATGTTGGAAGCGAAGCAAAGTTTAAAATCGGTTGCACAACTCGATGGTTCCATTAGAATGAAAATTTATAGATTTGCGTAAGCCAGTGCTTCTCCAAAGTCTCAGCTCACCAAGCCTCAGATTACAGAGTACGATATCATCACTCATCTTAATATATAATACTTGAACTACAGCACCAGGACTGTTGACGAAATGAAGTCATTTGCAACTTAAGGTGATATTAACGAATGGTTCAGCTGAATCTCTCACCTATAATATCCTGATTAGTGTACCAACTGAACCATGAGGCTGCCATTGTGCAGTACATTAGTTCAAGAATCTATGGACGAAGAATTCAGTTAAATATCTTGTCAACACTACAACTATTTGTGAATGCTCGCATTCCGCAAACTACGTACGATATGGCGTTCAAAAGGACCAAAACTTGATGAGATCCAAATAGGACGGGACCGGTCATGAGTTGTCCGAGAGTTTCCAGTAATCTTAGGAGAAGAATGCTTTCTCAGTGATATGGCGAAGTAAGATGTCACACAGTCAAACCCTGATAAAAGACTTCCGCTGCGTGTGCATGTCAACTTTGGCCCTTGCACCTTGAGAACAGATCAACTTGAGTTCTTCGGCAAGCTTCCTACAACATAGAACCCAGAGTAATCACACTACGGTAATCGTTGGATGGCACCAAAAAGCGCCTCATGAGAACAGCCAAACACCGCGGAGCCGATAATCTAAAGATATCAACGTGTTTCTTCATCACCCCGCAATTTATCCATCTCTTCTGAAGCTCATTGTACTACTGCCTGTTGCAGTGGTAGAATAGAACAAGGTCCCCTTTGTTTTTGGGATGGCTTATGTTATCGTGAACCATGCACCCAAATCATTTCCGTTCAATCCGGAATTCAGTTTCTGAACGATTTAGCCTCTTTGTAGCCATAACCTTATAGAACCTTTCTGCTCAATTGATTCTCTTTCGAACAAACGCGGACAAACATGTGGCTTCGTCAGTAAAAGTAGCCATCACTGAATGCGATGCTACTGCTATCTGAAATACTGTCACATTGGTTGTACTGTCAACCTGATACTGGCCTTGCATTTTATGGGTAGGACTTGAAAGCATTAGAACAGATCTATTGGGGCGACAAATCAGCGAAGTGTTTTGCCATGCATGCTGCACGGCCGTGGCGCCTTTGGGAGCTGCAAAAGTTAGACTGGACTCCAGCTGATATGTACGCTGAAGTGGTTCAGTTCACATACTCAATGCCGTATTTGTGCACAGTGACGTCGAAAAACTCCGCATCTATCACTCCCTGCTATTTGGCCTCAAAGTAATCACTGAAGTATAGGTGTACTCACGTTCACACTGAAAAAAATGTAACCACTTAGTGAAGCAACTGGTGACATTCACGCATGTAGTGACATGTGCTCTGTTAAGAATGGCAGCCTCAGAAGCTGCACGCGTAACGTTCAGTGCACAAAACTCAGGACGTATTTTCGAAGAGCCAATGCTGCAGTGATGCCTAAATAGTAAGGTAGATAAACTACCGCAAACACGCGATTAACAGCATCCACGAACACGACAGTAATTACTACTATGCATTTTACATTGTCCAGATAAGTCACCGGTTTAAAAAATATGAACATGAGTGGGAAATACGATTATAATCTGTCAACAAGGATGAGTTAGACGGCTCGAACGACTGAAACATCTTTCTCGACGATAAGAGGTGGTCAGCTTCCTCGAACCAGCATCAAATTACGCTCGCTTGAACAATCATGGTCCTGTTCTTCCATATTTTTTCCACTAAGTTTATGGCAAAAAAAGAAAATGCTCTGTTGGACTGTTCTGGAATGTATGTAGCTCGGGTGCGCTGTTTGGTTGTTGGTCTGTTCGCCGAGCTTGGCAGTTGGATTGCAAACGTTTCATCACCAATCGAGGTGACGTCGTCAGTGCAGGGTTGAGTGGGTGAATTCCTCCTCTTCTGTCTGTGATTATATAGCTTCTAAACAGTATCTGGTAGTTCTGGAAACGGTCGTCGTGCAGTTTGATTGGTCTCCTGTGAATCTCGCGTGGTCTCAATCTCCTGTGTCTGGTTCGTTGGGTGCATACAATTCGGCAGTTCTGTATGTGGTTGTCATGCTGTGATTCGGTCGTTTCCTTCTTGCTTTGTGGGGTGGTTTTTGCTCATTTGATTGGCCTTCTGGTTTTCATGATTGTCTTCCTTTGACCCAATTAGTCCGTTGGTTGCCCTTAGGTTTCTTAGCTCCGAGTCCCGTGACTGTGTGGCTACTTCGCTCGTAACGGCTGATAGACTGGGTCAATGTCGATGTGTTTATTGATCGATTTTTGTGTGGAGTACCACGCCTCGGCAAATTCTCGCTCACGCTTTGCGCTTGCGTGAGCGAGTATTTGAACATTGTCCCAATTGAACGTGTGTCCTTCTCTGTCTTCGTGGATTGAGACGAGTGACATTGGGTCATGTCTTCTACTGGCAAGCTTGTGTGCGTGTATTCTCGTAGCAAGTTTTCTTCCCGTTTGGCCAACATAATGTTTGTCGCAGTCGTTGCATTCAAGTTTGTAGACCACGTTAGTCTTCCTCAAAGCATCCAAACTTCCCTTTGGTTTCGAGAGGGCTCTTCTCAACATGTTTGTAGGCTTAAAGGCGACTGCAATTCCATGTTGTCGTAGGTGTCGTGCAATCATCGCCACGTTTCTGATATACGGCAGCGTAATCTTCCTCTGTTCTGGTTGTTTTGACGGATCAGCCCGATGTTGGTCTCGTAAGCACCTCCATATGAAATTCCTCGGGTAGCCGTTATTTCGGAATGTCTCGAAGAGTCTTCGTTCTTCTTTTTTCTTCGCCTCTGTTGTGTTGCAATGTGTCTCTATCCGCTTGAATAGAGTTCGAATACAGCTCCGCTTGTGACAGTCCGGATGGTTGCTGTGGTAATTCAGAATCTGGTCCGTATGCGTTTCTTTCTCGTAAACTTCAGTTTGTAGTTGGCCGTTTGTTGTCCTTGTTACGAGCACATCTAGGAACGCCAATTTGTTGTTCTCCTTAGTTTCCATTGTGAACTGGATGTCGGGAAACGCGTTGTTCAGCAGTTCCTCCGCTCGTAGTAGTTCATTTTTCTTTACACCAGCGAATGTGCCGTCCACATATCGTACCCATATTTTCGGTTTGATATCTGGTAGTACGATTCGCTCCAGTTTCCGCGATGAGTCCAGAGATTGGTGACCCCATTGGCGCTCCTTTGATCTGTTCGTAATATTCACCATTGAACTCAAAGTAGGTTGTCAAGCACAGGTCTAGTAGTTCACATATTTCTTCTTTCCGAGCGTTCCGTTGATGTTTCTGCGGTTGTCCAGGAGTTCGGCCACCGTCGTCCATGCTCCATTCAAATCAACCAATGTGAACAGTGAGGTTACATCAAAGGACACAATTATTTCGTCTTCTTCGATTCTCTCTTGATCTTACTAGAGCTCAGCGACAATAGGCAAACTCGACCATACGGGTACCTGAAACCCGCTTATTTGGCATGCAGGAGAAGGGGATTATCACCATACTACCAATAGGTCCTGGAAGCACCATAATTACCACTCAAGAACAAGTGAACATGTTCACTCCTGAGGACTGACTGAAGTACGTCCAATGCCTCAGAAGACAACCGCTGATATAAGTCGTCCTGCTATTGAGAAAAGGTGTTCAAACACAAGATGACAAAGAATTATTCAGTGAATAAATTCTTGTGTATTATGCAAGTAGGTTTTCTCTGAGTTTCAGCCAAGCATTTAGTGGTCCAATGATCCTTCTAAGAAACTGAAGGGTGGTGTCAATGGAGTTTACGTTTGAAACTCCATTGCTAGCACGAATCATACGCACCAGCAACTGACGATAAACCATGATTCAGTTTAATGGAAAAACAATAACGGGTTACTTACCAAAAGGTATTCCACCAGCAGTTGTGCCAACTGAAACAGTTTTATCAGGTTACCGTCGACATAACGTATGTCCTGTGTAGGAGGAGAGAGGAATGCACATGTAACGACAAAAAGTGTGATGAAAGCATAGTGGCGAACCGGTACTGCAGAAACGAAATGAGACATAACAGAGGCTTTACAACAGCGCCGATCGCTTGTGGAGCACTCGAAAACCAAACAGTTGAGAATACGAACAAATCGAATTCAGTCTTAACATTACTCTGTGCATGAGTATAATGAAAACATTGTGTTTGGTGTCAATTCATGGAAAATCAGTCGACAACTCAAGTGCCATTTCAATAGAAACATAACGTGAACTTCATACACCGCATCTAGCGGAAGAATAACACAAGCCATAGATTCAGTTGAGTCTCTGGTTATCACCATTCTAATTCGCGGGCAGGTGTTCGTCTTCACAAGGTTATACCTGATACAAGAGTGAAATATCCACGATTGCTCAGTCACAGTATCCATTAAGGTGTCGTCAAAATTGCGCGCGAAAGCCTTCTATCACATTCAGTTGCGATCAGATATTCTAAGGTGAGTCCCCACACAATAACAAGTTTCTCATGTGCTACTAGGGGAGAGCCACATCTCAAGCAAGGATGACAAGCTTTCCTCATCTGAAAAGTTCTGTGTTGATTTTGAAATACGGAATGAAGTATGGTAGCTATCAGCAAAAAACAAGGTACCTAAATACATTGCCCCCCTCAAAATGCCTTTCAGAGACGTTTATTCCATTGCCAGCTGGAAGGTATGGCATACTGAGGCGGACTTCAAAAAATGCCATTTGAGTTGTCTTTTTAGATGGTTTTTCCCTGGTTTACTAGATTAGTTCTTAATTTATTTTAGTTTTTTAATACCAATCAACTAAAAATGGTTCTTAAAAGTAAAGACAGCGCTTTACAACTTGTCATTAAACAATTTCCAAACATTCTTGTCTCCAGAAAAAACGGACTCCATACATTTACCGCAGTATCGGCTGACATCAAGATTTTGTGCAGTATTGCTCATTAACAGAGACCTATGTTTTCCGCACCAGAGTTCTCTTCTTTACTTGGCAGATTATTTTATTTGGATTCGGTTAAACGTTATGACTTATGTCGCTTCTTACTTCGCAACTCATTATGTTGGATCCTGAGCCAGTCGGACCTCTCCATATTCGTTTGAACTAAAATGGTGAACATTCTGGTCAGCTTAATACGGCAGTGGTTCTCCATTACGTTTTCAGAAAGAAACAAGCATTAGTCAGGTGATTGTAATTGAGAGATATCTGCACCCTGTGTTACCATTTCTTTTATTACTGCTTACCTCATTATCCTTGTTCGGACTGTCTAAACCCCCAGGGTTTCAATAGAATCATTTAATAAGGTTGAATGCCAATAATTACCATGGTCTCGTCACAACGCTATTCAAACCCTCCAATTTTCCAATACAGATTGGAAATGGCTTTCACTTTTATAAAAGCTAGACCTTCAACTTCTACTAACTTTAAAGTTGTCCACAATTCCAGCAGCATTTGTTTTTGGATATCTCCCTTGTTAATTGCTTTTGTTCATGCTAGAAAACTTGCAGCCAGAGATAAAAACGTCTGATCCCGCCGTGACTTTACTCAGGGAAACGCACATAAGTCTGCACCGAGGAAAGTCGTAGCCAACTATATACAAAGCGCCGTTTGCTTTCCCCTCTAGTTTATCTGGCGAGAACCGATTTTATACCTTCTCCGGATCACAGCGTGTGTATCAGAACATCGAAATCGTTTCCACCTCAGTTGTCTCCAACAGAGAGGCATTAGTTGGGGCGCTTCTCTCTGATGAAGCATGTACAAGTTATGCGCTCTTCAACAATTTTCATATCTGTCACATATTAATTTCACCATTCTGCACAATCTGATGTTTTCTTGGTGAACCCTCATGAAGTGAATGCGTAAAATGAAGACGACTTTATTTTACGGTAATGGCAACGAATTCAACAAGGAAACTGAGTGAGGAAAATATCAAAAGCCAGAAAGCAGTGGGCTTTGTCTTCAGTAGTATACTGAGCAAGTCATCACATCTTTATCGCGTGTTAAAGAACGAAAAATCAAACCTTGCTATACAGGCGGCCACATCGGTAGACCGTGGGTGACGATAATGAACCCATGTATTTGCTTTGCTTGTCCGAGTGAAATTATAATTTGGGTTCACTTTGCTTTGCACGGCACAAACGACGTAGGCGTGGAGATTTAGCACTTCCCACGGTTTCCTCTGGAAAAAACTAAGCAATCCGTTTTAATTTTATTAACTGGCCTTATCTGAATTTGAAGCATCGCGTCCGATAAAATCTAACTGTGCAAGTATATTTACCAACAATTTACACGGTTAGGGGCATGATATGTGATATCATAGTGAGTGAAACTCAGAAATGACCAGCAAACAGATGAATGTCTGAGTTTCTTTCAAATTTTATCATGCGTAACTATCTTCACTTGAACAATGAGGAACATAAGTTTTATCTCGAGATTTCTGCATTCGCCCACAGTACAGTCTGGTGGTAGTAGCACGGTAGGATTTATTTTGGTGTAACTCACCACTTCACAAGTTATGTCACAGAATGCTACTGATGACAGAACATCCTGTAATGTTCCGACATCCATCTCGTTGATCACCTGATTCACATCAATTGAAGCTGAAGGATAGGTGGTTTATGACTTCCAAATTTTGCACTTACCAAGCCGCCTCCAGTCAAGCTTCTCCTTTCGTTGCCGAAAGACAAATGGATGTATTGGTGTATTCCTAAGAGAGTATTCTTTTCTGGTTGTCATGGTGTATTTTCGTAAGCACCCAACAGCGATGTTTAGATCGTGGTTTCCACAACTAATCTCCAAGACTGCACTGAAAAGAGAATCAAACACGAGATCAAATATATTATATGGTAGGGTTTTGTAAGTGCAGCAACAGTGGCCATGACATGAGAGGAAAATCCTCAACGGACTCACAACACCAGTGACCCAAAGCCTTACGGCAAGAGATGTTCGTGAATGCTTATTTTGCAGGACCTATCGCCATGACAAAATGGAATGATAGGTCCAGTTCAGTAAGCATGTTTGGCAGCTGCATGACATGTAGTCTGTAGACAATCGGATGAAAAGATCGGAATAAGATGAAGATGGAGGACTTTTAATGAACAACGTAAGCAACATATTCTGCACATCATCTTGGTTATGTGCGATTACACCTTATTGTACGTGACTGTGAATAGTTCACGTACGATACCAGAGAGATACTTTTCTAGCACACATTACGCCAACGTAAGAACACAGGAACTTGTCCAGGTGCACGTTGCCGGAATCGTATAATGATCAAGTGACAACATTAAACTAGGAACGGGTATAACGCAGCAACAAGGAACCTGCAGTAGATGACAGATTTTGACAGACTGGCATTTACTTAATAGGGGAAAAGATCTCGGTCTCACAAAAATGATTTCTGATACTTTTCCCCTCTTGGAGCTTCAGATGGCGATCACTCCTTCAATAATGGCACCTCGTCGGACTGCAAAATCTATAAGAAACGTCCAGTGAAAAGAAATCATTGCCACAACCCCGGTAGCAACCAACTTTTTAGCTTATTACCCCTCTAAAATGGCCCTGAATACTGCATGCCTCAATTGTCTTTCTGGTTTGCTTACGCGCGTTGCGCTGAGAGAATCGCGTCACGTTCAAATAATAGGATTGCAAACAAACTTGCAATAATACTAATATAAGATCTTGAACTGCATTCCCGGGTCAGTTGTCAAACTGCGAAGTTGACAGACTGTCAGATTGAAACACCAAAAACATTCGATCTTCTTACATACTTGTGCTTTGCATGCATTCGTTTGAAGTATGTGATATCCAGCTCGCAGTATAAAGCGGACCAAACACGGAGGAGCTAAGTGAAGAAGCAACATGGCTCCTATATTTGTCCACCACAATGCCCTTTCAGAGCAATTTTAGGGATGATTTGGGTGAAACACCAACAAGTTACTCTCCCTCCCTTGGGTCACGGAAGTACCAAGCCTGGCATGGAGACCGAGACAGGGCTCAATACAAATTACAGACTATCGCCACGTGACCACACGAACCAACTGAACGTCGCAGTCACCCTAGTTTGATTATCTACTTGTTGCTTTAGCCTTTAAGACGGTAAGTGTGAATGACTCATTTAACACTAAACTTAGATGTCATCTAGGGCTTGATGGCATATAGAATTTCACCCATTATTTACAGTCAAGTAGGCAAAGCCTTTTAAAGTGGGGAAACAAGATTATCCAAGAGG